TTCTATGGTGATAATTTTTTTATTCCACCATTGTAAGTGTGTGCTACTTTGACTGTAAAAATATTTTGCTTCAACCATTATCTAATACTAGTGTCTGCTTCAACCATTGCTAGTGTTGCTTTTGTTCATGATTTCATTATATAACCATTTTGCTTTACATAGTAGATTTTTGTATTAGCCACTAACTTTTGTGCTTCCTTCTTTCTCACCAGATGCTTCAATTGCACAGATTCCAAATAATGATGCTATGTGTTGAGTACTACAACCAGGTTCTAAGTTGTCGGTTAGATGTAGCGCTCATGGCAAACACAAACCTTGTCATGAACAGATTGTCGCCTGCCGCTATGACGACCACGACGAAATGAAAATAGTGTTGTAATAGTATTTTACTATTGTTGTAAACTGAATTTATAAATTTGTGTTCATAAAGTATTAGTCTATTTCAATGCATGATAATACATGTCCTGCTTCCACGTGATTTTTTTTGCAAAAAATCTTTATAAGAAAAAGATCGTTCCATTTGCAATTTTATTACTACTTTGGTTGGAAGCAATTTTATAGTTGATGGAAACAAGAGATTGATGCTTTTGAAACTAGTGTGATTTTTTTTTCTATTTCATGGAAACAAATCATTGTTTGGTTGATGAATTCTCAGTCAATGGAACAATGTTTCTGACGCAAAATATTTCTTACTATGAGACTTATATGGAAGCAAATATTACAAACGAAGCTGTAAGCAAATATTGGTGTGCAGAAAGATGATCAATGTCATACATTGTGCTTCCTTGATCGCGGCAAATCTTTTATGCACTAGCATCAAATTTTCCAGTATCTAGAAAAAAGTTGAATAAAATTTCCTAAAAGCAATTGCACGAAGCATTTTAAAACTGTGCATGAAGCAACTAAAATTATAGTAAATCAAATGAAATACACCCACAAAACATAGTTTTGCAAAGGAAGCAAATTACTCAATACATGGAAGCATAGTTTTTTCAGGGATCCACAAGAACTTTTTTTTTGAGCGACGGGATACACGAGAACATGGGCATGGATGGATGACGGAGAGCACGGTATATCAAGCATGTAAGCTAACTACCAGGCCCACGTACTACTTCCACGTAAAAAGCAAGAAGTGCGATGGATGCGGCGACAGTTATGGCGAAGCACTCAATTAACGTAACAAATTAGCAAAACTCACGGCTTGACTAGTACTTACATCGGACGTCCAGCATGCTGTGGATTGAACGGCCAAGAACTCGTCTGATAGGGAGCCAAACATCAGTAGTAGTCTGATGCCTAGTGGTGCTCATACATAAAGCAGAGCGGAAGCTTGTTTCAAGTTGGTTAATAATTTAATGAAAGCTTCAATCACAATATCCTATTGTATCATCCCATGACACTGAAATTTCTCATGCTCACCTTTCAAACACTGAACTTAACTTACCTTTTAGCATGTGTGTCCATACAATCTAACACCGAACTCAACTTTCAAACGCTCGTATATGTCTGTGACGCACAACAAAACACTGATTCAGCTTCTACATGAACATGACTGATGTAAACGGCCTTGTATTAGTTTACATACAATACAGAGGGAGTATCAAATACTCCGTGCGAAGCCGAGCGTTGACAGCGAATAAGGCACTGCACGTCCGCTCGTCCAAGCATCATTGGTGCCGGTCGAAGTCGAAGCAGTCGTGTTGATGTCCTCGAGAGGTAGTAGCGCGCCAACTATGCTTGATTTCTTCCTCCGCTGCTTCTTGGTTGGTCGCCTCTGCAGCGTGCTCACAGTCCCAGGTTCTATGCATGCAAAAAGTATTTACGCCTACCACCAATCAGCTTAAACTTTTTTGCAGGAGATGAAGATGAGTAGGCGTTACCACCATGTTGTCGGGGCCCAAGCCCAGCAATTGCGGCCAGATAGTCGTACAGTGCGGCGGCGGCTTCCTCGTCGTTGTAAACGTCATCCATGGGCACTACCGACTCTGCTGCACTCCTCTTGCGCCGTCTCCTGGGCGCTGCTGCTGTTTCAGAGTCAGACACACCATCATCTCCGGCAGCCTCTGGACCCGACCGAGCTTCCCCGTGGTCCGTGTGAGACGACCGCATCGCCTCCTCGATCTCGGATATCCTCTTGAGAAGATGCTGCACGTAGTCGTCGTTGAAGAAACCGAGTGGCATAGAGGTGAGGTATTCGTAGTAGCAGCTGCCGTGTTCTTCAGCCGTTTCTCCTGCTGCTGCAGCTTCACCTTCGTCCCCGGGCACGGGCAGCAACCCCTCTCTGAGGATGGGATCGAACCCCTTGTCGATTATGTCCTGCAGCAGCTCCTTCATCTTCCTCCGGATGTACTTGATTTCGCCGCTGATGATGGCCGAGATGAACCTGGCCTGGTTGCTGAGTAGCTTTAACTCCTCCATCTGCGTCCGCGTCGATCGGTTTGTACGGGTAAAAGATCGACCGGGTTCGCTCAAATACACGTCCCCGGCTGAGCGAGGCGTTTGAAATTTGCGGTGGCCGGACACCGTCGTGCGTCGCGTCTCGTCGTGCTCAAATCTTGCCGCCGTCGCGCGTCTCATTGCTAGGTGCAGTATAGTCGTGCCCGGCCGTTGTGTGTTGGTGGAGGCAGGTCAAGGGTGCCGGTGGTCTGCTCCGATCTGGTGCCCACGGCCTCGGGTGGAGAGATATAGCCAAGCCAAAGTCAGGCCGGTTCCGAGTCGTAGCCGAGTTGGAGTCAAAAGATTGGCAAGCGTTGCCTTGCCGACTAGAGTTTTTGTGAGTGAATACGACGACTACTACGTCGTGAATCAAGACAGACTCGTAAATAGGAGTACGTGGAGTCATATCAGCAGGAAAAGCACATACGTATACAATTGGAAAAAAAAAGAGGAAATGCTGCAGCTGCACTACGTCGAACCCACGCGCCCTTCTGATGAAGACGAGATCAGTGGTGACCCGTAAAACATGAAGCACTTCCAACATGCAACGGGTTAAGGCCTTCAACAATGCAAGATACTTAAGAGAGGTGCTTGGAGAAATAAATTAGGCTTTTCTTAAGCACCTGTGCTTATTTTTACAGGGAAGACGCTTGATTAGGCATCTTTCCTGTAAAAATAGACACTGGTGCTTTAGAAAAAAACCCGGTTTATTTTTCTAAGCACCTTCATAAGCATCTAGCATTGTACAAGGCCTAAGTATAATATATTTTGATACAAGAATTTTATGAATTCGAATTTGCTCGAATATTTCGGCGAAAAACCCTGAAAATGTCCATAGATTTTTTGAAAACTGGCTTTTCCGGTCTTATCTTGACAAAAAACCAGACTCGAGAAAAAAAAACTTGCGCTCCGTTGGAGTTGCCCACTGAGGCCATCAAGTGAGCGCAGCCAAACGGCAACGGATTTAGGAACATGTTGCCATTGATAAAGCAAAAAAAAATGTGTTTCTATCTTTTTTCAGTTATACTCGCGTTTATACACCACAAATATTGTCTATTTTACCATTCTGTTGATCAGTCATTTTCTAATGCTTACTCTCAATTCTAGTACAAAAATAAATTTAACGTAACAAATTTCAGTAACCGGAAACGTTCAAACTGAGCTACAAACTCTAAAATTTTGAGATCTTAATTAGCATCAAATTTGAGGACAAAATTGTCGATGCACATGGGCTGGCAGCGCAACACGGATCACGGAGCATATTATTAGGAAATTTTACATGTTTTGTCACTGGGACAATAATATTTGTAGACTTAACACATTAGCTAAGCATGATCTAGCTATTACACTGGTAAATGTGTCTCTCATGATTCGAGAATGAGTGTGTAGCCGATTCACCAATGTGGATGCTTAGCATGAAAAAACAATGAATACCAATTAATCATGGTAGTAGGATGAATCCATTAACAGATGTTTGTGAAGGAGCTCGAGAACTTCATGCATTTTTTGCTTGGATGCTTCCTCTATATAATGTCACCAGATATTTTACTCTTGTTTTTCCCACGGAAAGCCCCATGTGAATCTCTGAGATACAAAGCATGCCGTTGTATTTTAGATATTGGAGCAAACCAAGCAAATACTACATTGTTGTAAAAGCATGTGCCGATACACACAAAATGATGTAGCTATTCACAAAGTGTCTCGGTTCTTCCTTAGATCGCCCGTGTCCAAGGGTCAACCTCAATTAGAGTGAAGCTTGTGAAGGCGTCAAAGAGGATCCATCTGAGCGGCCTGTGGAGCTCATGATTGTCGACGACCCTTACATGCATTTCGCCCGCCTCAAAATGTAGCCAAAGCGAACCACGAGGTGCGGCTCCCTCCTCGCCCCATCCTCCCAGGTATACCTTTGTCTTCAAGCCATCTGCGTAGTAGTCCGTTCCTGCGACGAATGAGCCAAGCAACAGTCCCTTGGTGGGGATCATGTACGCGATGTCTGGCAGCATCCCAACAAAGCTTAGCAGTTTCTCCCAACACCTGACACAAAATCTTGCTCATTTATTTTTTATCGATCGATTTCCCACTCAGGGGCGTGCAGGGGCTAATGAACTAAGGGATCAATCTCAGGCTATATGATGAAATCCAAACTCATTGGGTGTATAGCTAGCTGCGATCCGCCGGCTTGTTGGTGAGTCCGAAGCCGATTTTGGTACTCAACAAGAGAAGCTTTGTTTTTGGTCCGTGTGCGGAATGCAAATGATTGGAAAAGTGACAAAATGATTGTGACGAACTCGATCGAGAAGTTGATGATTCAGGATAGACATAACTGTGGCATCACTAGAGATTGGGACGTTCATGGGACGTTCACAACGAACTCACACACACGGCGGTGTAGGCGATCAAGTGAAATCCTTCTCATTAAATCATTTCCGGTCGATTACCACTCAGGCCTCACGGGCTAACTAGCTAATAATTAACAAAAAAGCTAGTAATTAAATAACCTCAGGCTAATGCTATGGAAAAAGATGAAATCCAAACTCGATCCGATGAGGGGCTAGCTAAGGTAGCTAGCTGCGATCCGCTGGCTTGGTGGTGAGTCCGAATCCGAAGGGGAAGAGCGGGTCGTAGAGCTTGTCGCCGTAGTTCATGGGCAGCTGGTCGACGGACCTGACCCACGTCCGGGGCAGCTTGCCGGAGAATCCGTGGTCCCCAAAGAGCACGTCGGCGACGCCGTGGCCCTCGGTGCCGGGCAGCCAGGCGGCGACGAGCGCGTCCATGGTGTCGAGGTATGGCTCGACGACGAGCGGACGGCCCGAGACGAGGACGACGACGCACTTGACGAGCTCGCACACCTTCCTGATGACCTCCGGGCCCGGGCCCGGGATGGTGAGGTTCAGGTTGTCGCCGGCCGCGGCGGCGTACGGGTGCTCGCCCACCACCACCACAGCGTAGTCGTACTCGTCCTCGTTCTTGGAGACGTTGCCCTTGTCCGGGTGCTCCGAGTAGTCGATGATCGTCTTCTTGTCCACCGCCGACTTGATGGCCTCAAGAATGGTGGTGCCTGCATCGTATTCGTACGTACAGTAGTCAACAACTAAGAGATGTGTGAAAGAAAGACGAGGAGGCGATGGAGGTAAGTAGGTACCATGGCCGGTGATGCCGTTGCCGGACTGACCCTGCCAGGACTTGGTCCAGCCGCCGCACTGGAGGCCGAGGTCGTGGGCGTGGGTGCCAACGACGAGGATCTTCTTGGCCTTCTTGGAGAGCGGGAGGACGGGCTTGCCGTCTTTCCTGCCTTTGCCGTTCTTGAGCAGCACGAGGGACTTCCTGACGGCCTCCCTGGCGAGCTCCCGGTGCTCCTTGCTGCCGAGCTGGCCGGTGAGGCTGTGTTCGGGGAAGGGGTTCTCGAAGAGGCCCATGGCGAACTTGACCCTGAGGATGCGGGAGACGGCGTCGTTGATGCGGTCCATCTTGATAGCGCCGCGCATGACCTGGGCCTGGACGTCGGCGACGAACTCGGGGTAGTCGAATGGGATCATGACCATGTCGATGCCGGCGTGGATGGTCTCCTGGATGGAGTGGTAGTAGTGCTTGTGCGGCGGGGTGGTGATCTTGTCCACCGCCTGCCAGTCCGTGATCACAAAGCCCTGCACGTAACGTACGTGTCAAGTACCGTGTCTGAGTGATGGACGAAATGACAATGACAATGTAGTACTCCCTCCGTATGATCTAAATGTTCTTATATTTGTTTTCAGAGGGAGTATGTGGGATGGCAAATTATACGTAGTAGTACGTACCCTGAAGTGCATCTTTTCCTTGAGGATCTGGGTGATGAGGTACTTGTTCTCGTGCATCTTGACGCCGTTCCAGCTGGAGTAGGAGATCATGACGGAGGAGACGCCCTTGATGACGGCGTCGTAGTAGGGCGGCATGTGGATCCGCATGAGGTCGTGGAAGCTGAGCACCGTGTTGTTGGCGCTTATCCCGTGGTGCGTCCCGCCGTCGCCGACGAAGTGCTTGGCGCAGGCTGCCACGTGCTTGGTCCCGCCCACGAAGGGGACGCCCCTGGGATGCTTGCTGGAGACGTCGCCCTGCAGGCCGGGGATGACGGCCGACGTCATCAGCTGCACCAGCTTCGTGTCCTCGCTGAAGCTCTCGTAGCACCCGCCCCACCTCGGATCACGGCAAACCTGCATGCATGCCCCGTCCCAGCCAGCCGGATGCATGTGTTAACGATGCATGGACGACGACTTTTGACATATACTCCTATATGTATGTAGCCAAAAAATGATTGATACGAAGAGGTTATTACGCACCGCGACGCATGGCGCGAAGGTGTAGGGGATGCCGGTGGCCCTGGCCTCGAGCGCCGTGGCGCGGCCGATGCGCTTGACCAGGTCGGGGTCCCTGGTGGCGCCGAGGCCGACGTTGTGGGGGAAGATGGTGGCGTTGTAGGCGTTGTTGTTGCCATGCACGGCGTCGATGCCGTAGAGGATGGGGATGCCGAGGCGGGTGCTGAGCGCCGCCTTCTGCATCTTGGTGATCATCTCCTGCCACGTCGCCGCCGACGCCTTCTCCGACGGAGCGCTGCCGCCACCGCTCAGCACGCTCCCTGCATGCACATCCATCGATCCATCGATCAAGCCCACATGCAATGCAGAGAGAGTATGACACGCACACATACGCTGCCTTCGAGAATCGATCGACCGATTCGCCTCGCCGGTGAAGGAAGGAAGGAAGGAAGGAAGAGAGCAAATTAAGGGAGGGAGTACGTACCGACGAAGTACTTCTCGATGACGGCGGAGGAGGCGTTGTGGCGCTCGATCTGCGTCATCTGCCCGATCTTCTCCTCGATCCTCATCCGGCCGAGGAGATCCTCCACGCGCGCCTGGATCGGCTGCTTGTGGTCTTTGTACCTGACATACGTTGCCCCGGCCACCGACGCACCGGCCGCGGCAACCACCAGGAGGAGGAGGACCGCCGGCGCCGCCGAGCAGCAGCCCGTCTGCATTGCCATTTCTGATCTAGGTCGAGCAAAGAAGTGGGTGTGATGAGAGTGTAGATATATCAGTACACATCATGCGGTTTAAATAGAGAGGAGAGGGAGAGGCAGCCCCAGGACTCAACTGAACTCCTACAATCTAGCTAGGCACTACCGAGAGGATGAAGGAGCCGGTACAGATCCTGGAGAACCGGTCATAAACATGACGTGTACAACGGTGAACACTTCAACAGAGAGGAGTGATCAATTTGCAGCGGTGGAGGTCGATGGACTGATTCCAGTGTCAACCTCTCGCTCGGTCTTGCGGTTACAACTATAATCGGGCGAGAAAGGGCCGGGCGGCAAAGACATTTTTAGCGGCAATGTTACCCACCGGCAACACACGAGCCAATGCGGTGCTGCCACATGGTGAAGTATATCAAGATATTTATTCCTTTCCGGAAAAGGCGTTTTGGCTCTCGGGTGCAACTGCACACACGAACGTTCGGATTTTAAATATGTCGCCCTGAACGTTTTTTCATGGCAACTTTTTTTTTGCGGGAAAAAGTAAGTTTTATTCCATGAACATAGGGATACAATCACGTGGCACAAGTTCCGTTATACATGGCGGAACTCCTAACAACCACACTGCACTACAAGACCCGGTGCGGCTATAAGAGGCCAAACAATCTGCAACCCTATTTTGACTTCTAGTAATTTTCTTCGGAATGAACTCCCTTTCCTCCATAAGAGACTTGATTTCAGCAACAAGATGGCCATAGACGGATCTGGACAAACTTGCATCAACGAGTGAAGATAACGCTAATGAAGAGTCTGATTGTACCCATACCGGTAGAGCGGAATGCTGGAGTGCCAGCGCCATACCTTGCATAATTGCATGAATTTCCGCCTCCAAGGCATCCTTACAGTGGAAAAGAATCCGGTAGGCCGAGAAGATGATAGAGCCATCATGTCGACGCAACAGCAAACCCGTAGCTGCCGAACCGTCCATTGGCTGAAAGGTGCCATCGACAGACAGTGCAACATAACCAGCCGGCGGTGGGGGCCAGGGTTCCACTTCCACTGGAGCAGATTCAGGCCGGACATCCGGTTCTTGGACCACGTTCATCTTCCCCTTGATCATTTGCTCAGTAGTGAACTGTTTCGATAATCTGAGCAACCTCAGATAGCTGTCCAAAAAAGCGACCGACGCCTCCACTGGTGAATATTGTTTGCCATGAGTGACATCTGAGCGCACATTCCATATACGCCAGCAAAGAAGGATAACCATATCCCGTACTTGTGCTGAGCACGCAGCAAGTACGTGAAGAAGCCAGTCAGGACCCGAATTGACAAGGCACTCACGAGGTGGCAGATTCCACACGCTCCGCATCGCCTCCCATAATGATATCGCATGTGCACAGGAGATAAGAGCATGGAATGAATCTTCTCTTTCAATACCACACATAGGACAAGTGCCCCGCCTGCTGATATGTCTATAAACCTTGCACTCGTTTGTCGCCAAAGCTCTCGAGCAAGCCTTCCACGCTGAGATACACATCTTAAGAGGGACCTTAGACTGTCAGAGTAGTTTCCACAACTTTCGCTCACCATCTTGGGATGAGCTGGACGCCCCACATGCAACGCTCTCCTCCCGAGCCGAGGTCGCCAGGTGGTAGGCACTCTTCGCAGAGAAAGAGCCATGTTTTCCAGGATGCCAAGCAATGAAGTCCTCCCTTCTTCTTGGTGAAGCTTTGATCTTTAGAATTTCATTGATGTCCATCTCCCAGAAATGATCCCTGAGCCGTTGTAAGTTCCATGCTCCAGTTTCTTCCAAGAAGTCTGACACACGATTAAAACGACAATTCCTCTTAGGAGTGATTGGTCTACAATCGTGTCCCCGTGGGATCCAAGGGTCCCGCCACGTTTGGATTTTAGACCCGTCTCCAACTCGCCAGATTATACCTCTCTTCACAAGTTCCAACCCATGGCTGATTCCTTTCCAGACCTCCGAAGCTCGTCCAGAGAACACCGTATCAAGAATATTTCCGTTGGGATAATACTTTGCATGCAGCAGACGAGCGCATAAGCTTTCGGGTGTGTCAATAAGCCTCCAAGCTTGCTTGGCCAACAAGGCTTGATTAAACGCACACATATCACGAAAGCCCATCCCCCCTTTAGCTTTGGGTAAGATCATCTTCTCCCAACTCAACCAAGCCATCTTCCTTTTCCCATTTTCCACGCCCCACCAGTATTGCCTCATAAGCCGAGTTAAGTCATCACAAATGGAAGCCGGAAGCTTGAACACGCTCATGACAAAGGTGGGGATCGCCTGCGCCACCGACTTTATAAGAATCTCCTTAGTACCAGTGGAAGTATATTGCTCGCTCCAATCCACGAGCCTCTTACTCAACCTTTCTTGGGTACTCTCAAATCTGCCTTTATGCATTCTTCCTTGCGGCACTGGCAGCCCCAAGTACTTAGGCTCGAAAACCTCCCACGAGATACCCAAAGTATGCTTTATAGACTCTGAAACAGCCCCCAGACAGTTTGTGGAGAAAAGAATGGAACACTTGGAAGGGTTCAAGAGCTGACCCGTAGACTGTGCGTAAGTGCTCAACAAATCTTTCACCACCTCTGCCTGGTTTGTCGAAGCTCGGAAGAAAAGCAAAGAGTCATCCGCAAAGAGCAAGTGAGATATAACTGGTGCCCTGCTACAAATTTTTAGACCCTCTAGCTGACCATCATTAACTGATTTATGCAGAAGAGCGGAAAGAGCATCAGCAACGAAAAGGAACAAAAAGGGGGAGAAGGGATCACCTTGTCTAAGACCCCGCGTAGGGCTAAAAGCCTCCAACAACTTCCCATTGAGCTTCACCGAATACTTCACTGAGGACACACATGCCATCACCCTTTTGATCCAAACCTCCGAAAACCCCCACTTGGACAGTGCTAGTTCCAAAAAATCCCAATCAACTCTATCATAGGCCTTGGAGAGATCTAACTTGTAGGCACAACAAGGAGAGTCCGAAGACCGTTTTGCTTGGATATAATCAATGCACTCAAATGCAATTATAGAATTATCAGAAATAAGTCTTCCGGGTATGAAGGCACTCTGATTCTCGGAGATTAATTCCTGCAGGATCGGACGTAACCTGTTGACGATGCACTTGGACACAATTTTATATATGATGTTGCACAAACTAATCAGCCAGAAATCCTTCAATTCTTTCGGATGGGGAATCTTAGGAATCAAAACAATAGTAGTATCATTCACATCCGTGGGCATGACTCCAGAAGAGAAGAACTCAAGAACAGCAGGCATTATTTCAAACTTCATGGAGCCCCAATTCCGCTGATAAAACCTTGATGGGAAGCCGTCTACTCTTGGTGCTTTGAGTGGACCAATTTGGAGTAGAGCGTCTGACACTTCCTTCTCTGAGTATGGAGCACAGAGAGCCTCATTCATATCCAACGTCACTATGGGTTGTATGCACTCTAGCACTGCCTCTGGTGAAAGTGTTGGATCTTTGGTAAATACCTCCTGGAAATAAGACCGCGCCATTAACTCCATATCAGATGGGGCGGTGGTCCAGGTACCATCCTCCTTGCGCAAGCGCTGAATAAAATTTTGCCGCGCTCGCCAAACTACTCTTCTATGCATGTATTTAGTATTACGTTCGCCTTCCTTAAGCCAGCTGATACGTGACCGCTGCAACCACATCATTTCCTCCCTGTATAGGAGTTCGTCCAACTCATTCATCTTGGTACGTAACAAAACTCTATCAGCATTAGTGAGGTGCAGATTCGCCAATTCTAACCTCAACTTCTCGAGTTTCTTATTAACGTTGCCGAACTTTTCCTTACTCCACGTGCGAAGCTGCTTCATCATCTCCTTAAGCGAACTGGATACCACACCCAGGTTAGCCTCCGGTTTATGAGCAGCCCACGTATTTTGGATTATCTCTGGTAGAGCCGCCTCCCTCTCCCACATGATCTCGTATCTTGGCACACTCTATCTCGGATTATCCGGTAAAGCAATCAACTCAATTACTAGAGCACAGTGGTCCGAACAAGATGAAACCACATGATGGACACGGGAGGCCGGGAAAAGATCCCGCCAAGCCTGGTCCACGCATGCCCTGTCCAGCCAGACTTTGACATTGCTATCGTTTGTGTGGCCGTTATCATAAGTGAACGGCACACCCGAGAACCCCAGATCGACAATATCACACATGTTTAGACAGTCCCGAAAGGCTTGCATTTGTACTTCAGATCGAGCAGTACGTGAGATGTGTTAATGCTGCCACATAGCCTCGTTGAAGTCACCACAAACCAACCATGGATCTGCTGAAGTTGCACGTAGAGTTGTAAGATTATCCCACATGACATGCCTATTCTCAACTCTTGGTTCGCCGTAAACAAAAGTACCCTGCCAGCATGTATTGTTACTCATGTCCTTCACTTGAACATCAATGTATCGCTTACAAGAATCCAACACTACCACCGAAAGGGAATCATCCCAGTACAACGCTAAGCCTCCACTCAAACCATCACAGCTAACACCAGCGAAACCTTTTAAGCCCAACCGCCAACGTAGCTTCTCCATCTTTGATACATCTTGTCTTGCCTCCGAAAGGAAGACAAATTTGGGGGAATTGGCTTTTGAGAGGGCCAACACCTCACGAGCTGTCTGGCGGTTCCCCCCACCCCGGCAGTTCCAAGCTAAAACATTCATTGCGTCCGGCGGTCCTCCTCCAGGGAGGTCGCCGATATCTCATTTTGTGACACATCATCAACCTTTGCACGTTTACTGTTAGTGCTGCTAGTCGGAGAACCTTGCTCCGTATCCTTCCCACTACCATCTGTAATAGCCAACATGGCAGTTGTCGCTGGAGTGGGGTTTGATCATCAGTTTTCTCCTCTCCCACCAGCAAGAGCCTCTTGCGGACACCTTTGTCACATTCCATCAAAACTGTACCACACTTAACTGGGCTTGTCGCTGTACCAGCCAGATCCGGATCCTGAATAGCAGC